GTTTACAACTTGGTAAAAAACACATACAAATTATTTATTTTTTTTTTTCTTATTTCCGCACAGCCCTTACAAATAACGATGGGTATTCGTGTCACGGCCGAGGAGGAACTCCTCGGAGCAGACATCGTGGAGCACAACGTTCAGAAATCCGGCACAAACTCACAGATGACCTTCACGTCACAAGCCCAGAACAGAAACCCGAATTCCACTCAGACAGTTTCCCAGCAAACACAAGGATTGTCCAGAACAACCAGAGATCGCATACAAGGCGGCTGGAAGAGCCAGGTTCTAACGTTATCTTCGCTAGAGAGTTTGAGTCGTGAAACGGAGTACAGTACGTTCTCCAAACTGCACGATACAATGAGCAAAATCGAAAGAGAAATCCCTTTACCAGAATATTTGGCTCAGGTGTATCCGGCATGAATATCACCAGAACATAAGTTATTTGTTTCTTCTATGTCTGCCAGAGTATTTTTATGTTTGTATAGACACTGCTATATTCATCTTCTTCTTCTCGTTCACTGGCTGTAAACTCCGGCGGAAAGTTTTGGTTGTTCGTCCAAATTTGGACTCTAGACCTGATCCAGAAACTGAGTGTTGCATGCTCAGCTGTTTTACAGGTCTAAAACATTTGCATGCAGACTGTTAGTTCTTACAGGCATTTGTACACTGACTTCGAAGGAAGCTTCCAATTAGTCGACTTTTACGACACGCTTTTGGGCAGGTAGTGGATCTACTGTTTTCTCCACATCGGGACCAAGAAACCAACATGGGGACAAGCAGCTAAAGGTATACAGATGCGTTTCTGAATATCCAGACAAAAAGCCAACTCAGCCAAAATGATGTTCGATTGCTTTTTGACAATATTGAACGACCACCACAATACAAATAAGCCTCAAGATGTGGGAATAATGTTCTAAGTCTTTTAGTAACAGCATCTAGACCTTAATACATTTGCTGTCGGACACGGAGAACCTTTGAGTATGCCCGGTTCTTCGATGTCAACCATTAAATCAGTAACAGCCTGAAGTTAATAAGCTCCTACCAAGAAGATTTCTCGTGTAAATAACAAATGTTTGAGGTAAAGAAGTTGAAATATGGGAGAGATGGAATGAACCAAAAGTAACAATTCGAGTGAATGAATTAATAAATAAAGGACTGAATGAATGAATAAATGAATGAATGAAAAAATGAATGAATCAAGAATGGACATTATGCACTCGGGTCATTTCCACAAGTGCCCCATCTTCTTCGTTAGTACCCAAAGAAGAGTTGCCATTCTAATATTACCAGCTGAATACGAGTCCACCTTTGTTTCCCCTATGTTAGTCTTTCAATGCATATCGATTATCTATCCCTTGCACTGTCCATTTGATCCCGACAAGCCTTCACCAGGATCACTTTGTCTGAAAGTAGGTGTTGACAATTAAAGTGATTAGAATGAGTTCATGTAACAACTATTTGTAACAGAATAAAGGAAGAAAATTAGACTACATTTGGGCCAGTCAATCAATGTATGGTGAGTTGATTGGTACAGAAAGTGTTTATTTAAACTATAAACGTAAATTTCATAGAACCAAGACGTTAAGACACAACACTAGCTCTATTCACTTGTTATTTGCAATATTTTGAGGGAGTGGGGCATTTAGTCTAATAACAGTGATACACATCTTCCGTCCTGTTGATTTGATTATCTTTACAGACGGCTTTGTCTGCAGAGACATAATAAGTGCATAGGGATTAAGGGCAAAACAGAAGAGATGTTGCTAAGTGTAACAATGCCTGGTATACGATACTACAAAATATAATTTGGGAATGGAGGTAGATGCAGTTCTGTAGCTTTCCGTTGGCACACAAGAAACCCAGCTAAACCTACATGTCATGTCTAAAAACTGACTACAGAGCTTATTGAGAAAGATAGGGATGTCTGCTCCGTGTAGAGTGGAAACATCCCTTTAGTTGTCCACGGTAGTTAGCCTTCATCGAATATTTTTAGAGTCAACTGTAGAGGAAAAAAATATTTCTGCACCAAGCAGTGGTAAATTGATGCATAGCAAACTATATGTTTTCAGAGCACTTTGGGATGGAGTAAACAGCGTGAAGGCACAAATAGATCATCGTGGTCTGATGAGAAAAGGGCAAAGAGGAGTATCCAGGGGATTAGCAGGACGCTGGATTATTAGGGGAAGGGTGAGAGACTACTACTGGTACCATGGGATTGGAACTCTGCTATTGCGACTGAAGATGAGAACGGAGCTCTTATGGGAATGCACTGAGTCCCAGGATGTAGGTTTTAAAATCACCTTATTACCCATCCAAATGTTGATCTACTTGTCGTTAAGTATCAAAGACCTGTACCCACACATGAATGTAGATTACACCAGGCTGGTGTGGTCGTTACATGTGTCACAATTACAACACTTTCCTGAAGACTAAATAGGACATTTTAGGAAATGCACTGTTGATTTACGAGGAAAAGAGTGTAAAGGGACGCTAAAACAGCTTGGCGAAGCTGAGGAAAGAGCTTCGAGATGGTTATGTGAAAACAATGGAATGTCGTGGGGAACAGGTTTCGGTAGACTGGTCCAAGCTCCTAATGGAAAAGAGCTTTAGATCCCTAAAAGCCCAAGTGCTCAATAAACGTCTACAGTGTCTCTCTGCCAACTGCATAAGTCTAACGTCTGTCTGATGAACCAACCGCAAGCTTGTCACTCTGGTCATGAAGGTAGACAGCTAATTTGCTACCACCTCGACAATATATAACACCAAATCTCACTACCAGTTGCAAAGTCCCGATTTCCTATCTTCCGTAAGTCCGATAAAGTGCAGCAGGGGAAGATCGTAGCCTGGCTTTATGAACCAGGTCGACCCACCTTTTGAGACTGTATAGAAAGTAATGGGCCGAAACAATCGTTGACGAGGGATCTTTATATTGATGAACTGGGGAACCATGCAGTAAATGCTCCCCTGTGGATTTCTTCTTATTACCTGGGGGTTGAACTTGGTATCAGGGCATGTCCTGTTTGCCACCAGCACTGCGATTTTCCTAAATTTTAGCCTTTCTTTCAGGAAGGAGGGGCAGGGGCCGACCGATACGAAGATGGGCACAGGATATAAGTGACTCCTTGAGTATGAAAGTACATGAGGCGGGAGAACTGGCGAGAGAGGCAGACTGTGATGAGAGCGACGTTCTGCAAAGGACCTGCTACATGACGATGATGATGGTGTCACTTTCAGGTCCACTTGGTCTGCTATCCAGGCAGAGATCAACTGATCTCAAGGTCTTAACACATTACAGCTTGGAGCCTGTAGGGAAGTTTATGGCGCTTACGAACTGCTCCAGCAATTCTCCATACGTTAGAAAACAGCAACAACATCTGCATGCGCTACATCTGAAAATATCTCACGTGAAAGTAAAAAGGGCGCCTACAGAGAACTGGTTTGGATTGATGACAGTAAAGATATTCTACATAACCATGGAATGACAATATCCAGTGCTACCCATAGAGCCATGGATTCCAAACTGCCCCTCGCCCCCTCGCAACCCGACCCCCACGACTCATAACGGCAACAGGAGAAATTTACAATGTTGATGATGATGACTACACATGTGATTAGGACTGACCAAAATCATTACCGATTACTTATAACTCTGAATTAAATTACACGATGTTCTTTCTGTCTTCGTTGTGTTTCGTCATTTATTTAACGTGTTGGCAATCAGTGTTATAGTACCAGTCCCACTGACAATATTAAGTGTTCATGTTCACACATTTGATGACAGCAAAAAACCACCTGAAATAGAAATTTGTTTTCAAATACTCATATTGTTATATTACCGATGTTAGTTTATTATGTCTGCATTTTTCAATCATACATGGTATATTCTGTGACTTTGATATTGCTATAACAAACAAACAAAAAAAAAAAACAAAAAAAAAAAAAAAAAAAAAAAAAAAAAAAAGAAAACAAAAACATAAAAATAAAAATAGTAAATACCTTGACACATCTGTACGCTAATAATATTGTGGTAGTGGAAAGCCTTGGTTCTGAACCACTGACTTCTAGAACATAAGGGAAATTCATGCAATAAATGTACACACTAGATAGATAAAATAAGTAAAAGTAGCTGTATCTTCGCAATACATGGCAAAACGAACCCCAGTAGATGTTGACTTTTGTCATTGAAATAGCTAACTTCACGTTCAGTAGTTTACTGTTCCCTACTAAACAAGTCTCTTTACACCACTGCCGAAACCAACGCAAGGCGGTTTGTTACCAAATCGTCTGCAGCTAGGATTTAACCTTCGAAAAACGGAGCGCCTTAGCAGTGCCTAAGCCTCAGGCGCGGATACTAGACAGATACAAAAGTTACAAAAATGAACCAGTTCTGCCACTGCCAGATTATCAAACACGGACCATTATGTTGAAAGGTAACCGTTACCCGTTTATGCCACTACGGTTGAAATATCCTGTAAAAGTTTTTTTTTAATGGTACAATATAATACAAAAATAAATGTGCAATGGATAATATACATAATATACAGAGTTGCTATATACACATCTTATTCAAAATACACAAGAAAACAACTAAAACATGGAACTCTAGACCTGGAGACCTGGATGTTTTCTGAGACACATTTCTTCTTCTTGCACGACAGAAGAATTTAAGTTACGGAGTAAATATTTGTTACAAAAAGGAAGAAGTGATTATTGTGTGCATAATATCAGTGTCCCTCAAATATCAGGTGTTGATAGTCCGTCAAGTATTTATTTGAAAGATCTCAGTGGGTTGAAGATGGAGAACTTTTTTCTTCTTCTTGGAGTTCGTCTTGACAAGAACCATGATACATTGTCAAAATTTACAAAGAGATATGATTTCTTTTTTTTTTTTTTTTTTTTTTGTTGTTTTACGTTTATGAGAAGCTTAGTCACCAATAAATGATCATTTGTTCGTATTCTAACTCATGTCTCAATCCGAAGAAGCTCAGCACAGTGCACAGACTCTGTAGCACCGGCGAGGATCCTGCAAATACTTTGGTGTTTAGTTTTTAACTCTAAATTGTCCCCAGGCAGCTCTGTTAAGCTACTCTTTTTTATTTCCAACTGCCAAGGGATTATTTACATGCGCAAAAATGCACACGGGCGTCCGATCTCACTACCTAGAGACCAGGGAAAATAACTAGAAGTCCAAGTCCATGTTAAAAAATCCCAGCTCATACCGAGGATTGAACCCGAAACTTCAAGCACTCGGGGCAGACAACAAAGGACTCGAGACTACACAGCGGCCTTAAATTCGCTAGAGATTGAGAAAACTTCAGGAAACATAGTTGATGTTGATTTTAGATTTGAAATATTTTGCAGTACTAAATTTGGTTCCTAAAGAAACTCGTGGATGACATTATCTTGGAAAAGAAAACGAAAACATTGTTCCGTTATTACAGAAATGAACACTACAGAGAAAGACACTACAGAAATAAACACTACAGAGATGGACTTTATAGAGATGGACACTGCAGAAATGAACACTACAGAGATGAACACTACAGAGATGGACTTTATAGAGATGGACACTACAGAGGGAAACACTACAGAGATGAACACTACAGAGATGAACACTACAGAGATGGACACTACAGAGATTAACACTACAGAGATGAACACTACAGAGATGAACACTACAGAGATGAACACTACAGAGATGGACACTACAGAGATGAACACTACAGAGATGAACACTACAGAGATGAACACTACAGAGATGAACACTACAGAGATGAACACTACAGAGATGAACACTACAGAGATGGACACTACAGAGATTAACACTACAGAGATGAACACTACAGAGATGAACACTACAGAGATGGACACTACAGAGATGAACACTACAGAGCGGAACACTACAGAGATGGACACTACAGAGATGGACACTACAGAGATGGACACTACAGAGATGAACACTACAGAGCGGAACACTACAGAGATGAACACTACAGAGATGGACACTACAGAGATGAACACTACAGAGCGGAACACTACAGAGATGGACACTACAGAGATGAAATCTACATAGATGAACACTACAGAGATGGACACTACAGAGATGAAATCTACATAGATGAACACTACAGAGATGGGCACTACAGAGATGGACACTACAGAGATGGACACTACAGAGATGGACACTACAGAGATGGACACTGCAGAGATCGATACTACAGAGATGAAATCTACATAGATGAACACTACAGAGATGGACACTACAGAGATGGACACTACAGAGATGAACACTACAGAGATGAACACAACAGAGATGGACACTGCAGAGATAGACACTACAGAGATGAACACTACAGAGATAGACACTACAGAGATGGACACTACAGAGATGGGCACTACAGTGATGGACACTACAGAAATGGACACTGCAATGATGAACACTACAGAGATGAACACTACAGAGATGGACACTACAGTGATGGACACTACAGAAATGGACACTGCAATGATGAACACTACAGAGATAGACACTACAGAGATGAACACTACAGAGATAGACACTGCAGAAATGGACACTACGGAGATTGACACTAGATACATATTGGCCATAGAAGTATCAGTGGCAAGAGGTAATAACTGAATTTACTTCTGTCTACGACTGTGATGGGATGAAGCTTACAAGAACACATTTAATAGCAGTTGTAGATCTCCTTCTCCGTGCTTCAATGATCAACATCAAATACATTTGTGTCAACAACTGTATTTGTATGTCAAAATCCTTAAAACAATTAAATCACACGAAACAGTTAAATCTGAAGCCTGATAATATACAAACACAGTAAACATACAATATCCGTTCCCATGTGGGACCACTTTTTTGAAGCCCCACCCTGGTTGTTGCCGGGGACCCTAATACAACCTAACGGTTGACCGGGTTTCTGGGACCTCTCCAAGGGTGATTGTATCATGTGGATAGACAATTTGTTTCACCGGACGTTTGTCGCTTAATGTGATGTACTAAAGGGTTGAAAAAGGAGTCACAAACGGAGCAAAATGGAAATGATTTACTAAGTCATTTGATGTCATAAATAGTTCGATCACTGTGTCAATCGATACAAGTGCTGGAATTTGAAGTCATACAGACTTTTCGTGAAATAAGAGCTGTCCTTCCTAAATGCAATAATAAAAAAAGAAGCTTTGCTTACGTGTATGTTCATCAAAGAAAATCCAGGGAGAAGACTGATAATTTCCCTTGTTCGACATCATCGTCTCATGATATTAACTTCTTCTTCTTCTTCTTTTTCTTCTTCTTTATCTTTTTCTTCTTCTTCTTCTCCTTCTCCTTCTCCTTCTCCTCCTTCTTCTTCTTCTCCTTCTTCTTCTTCTTCTTCTTCTTCTCCTTCTTCTTCTTCTTCTTCTTCTTTTTCTTCTTCTTCTTCTTCTTCTTCTTCTTCTTCTTCTTCTTCTTCTTCTTCTTCTTCTTCTTCTTCTTCTTCTTCTTCTTCTTCTTCTTCTTCTTCTTCTTCTTCTTATTCTTCTTCTTCTTTTTTCTACTTATTTTGTCATCTCACTGACACCAGATTGTAGCCCTGTGTCTGGTTTTCTGTATTTGTCTTGCGCGTCTTGGGTGGCTTGATGGATTTGTTCATCCTTTTGAAGGTTTCAGCTACACCATTTATCCATCTCTTTCTTGGTATTCCTTGGTATACCACCAAATGGTATACTATGAATAGTCTCGTGGTATTAACTGCCACACCACATATTTCACGATGAGATTGGGGTGGGGGGGGGGGGGGTTCCGTGAGAGAGAGAGAGAGAGAGAGAGAGAGAGAGAGAGAGAGAGAGAGAGAGAGAGAGAGAGAGAGAGAGAGAAAGGAAACAGGAAAATAGAATTACCACTCCCACTGGCACATGCAATTAAAGTGTAATATGTCCTTTTAAAATGTCTTTGTATGTCTTGTCATCGAGACGTCTAAACGCATCCGACGACCGGTCCAGGTAGTAAAGAGGCTCATCGACGTTTTGGGGATCAAATCCTTCCTTGATAAGTTCTGTCTTCTGCTGCTTAAATGTGGTTGTGAGACTCATCTGGCGTTGAAAGCGCAAGAATCTGTGGACACAAAAAAAACAATAGTGGGTAAAGAATAATATAATATTTAATCTGTCTCTCTCTCTCTCTCTCTCTCTCTCTCTCTCTCTATATATATATATATATATATATATATATATAAATATATATATATATATATATATATATATATATATATATATATATATATATATAACCTGTGTATACCAATTTATGCATATACTGCTCCATACTTTTGTATATAGAACTTGCTTACTAATGCAGCGTTTGAAAGTGCGGATTGCAAGATTCTATGAAAATATATTTCCTTCCTTTCTTTGTTCTTTCGTTTATTTGTTTACTCCCCCTCTCTCTCTGTGTTCTCTCTCTCTCTCTCTCTCTGTTCTCTCTCTCTCTCTCTCTCTCTCTCTCTCTCTCTCTCTCTCTCGTTTGTACAATTGGCAGTTAGTGAAACACTGGTTTCTGAAACATTTAGGTGTTCGTTTATTTTCTAAAGTGTGTCTACTGGTTACACAACATGTCAGTGGGAGAGGATGTGCTAGGTGTTGAAACAGAACCGCCATCAACCAGTGTGATATATAAATCAACGTTTAGTCATGAGTAAAGTCTATCACCATAGCGCTCGCAATAGATCCAAGGCTGGCCTATTTGTAGCACACAGACATTTAATTAGAGTCTCCCAAAAAATCGCCTACCTCGGTCTGGCATATCCAGGAAGCTTCTGCCTACACAGACTGCCAAGTTCATGAACCTTCTCGTCGTCGAGTTCTTCTCCCTCTTTTAAATTAATAGCAGCCATCCCCGTTTTACCCTCATAGCCTGTAATGATGACATTCATGAGTTCATAAAATGCGGAAGTTAAAGTAAGTAAATAACGTTTTCTTGCATCTTATTTCTCTGGTAATTAATAAGTAAATGTCCATGTTTACTCCAGTGCTGCATCAGGCATCCGGTGCTAGACTTACATTTAATAGACCAACCGGCACTAGGTGGCCGATGTGATCAACATCCTGTCGGCTACTTATGCTTCTTATGTATTACCTTGTTCTCCGTGAAATAAAGTATGAATCAAGGCTCGAGCATCCTTACATATTCTGTTTCTTCTGATCAACCCAGAAAAGGCAACCGTCCTGTTGTGTTCTTTTGACAACATGATTGTTAGAGTTGATGTTTCAAGCCTCAAAATTGATGTCAAGGACATCAAAAGAGACAGCAGACTGGGGTACCTGGGAATCACCTTTGACAGAAGTTTGTCTTTCAAGGATAATATAGAGGACGTTGTGTCAAAGACCCAAAAAGGTCCTAATGCACTAATGATTATGGCAGCAATGGATGCTGCTAAAACTTTACAGAACTAAATCATCTCAGTGATTGATTATGGACTGGGATTACTCACTGTCTCGAAGAGTCAGCTAAAACAAAAGGAGCGCATAGGGAATGAAAATATGCGAGTGTTTCTGGGATGTACAAGAGACAACCCGATTGTGTGCATGCGATACATCCTTGCATTGCCGACTATTGCAGATTGGCTAATGGTGCTGCAGCGTAAGTCGTACCTCAGAGTAGCTGAAGACAAAGAGCACCTTCTATATGAAGCTTTAGCTGTTGTTAAGAGTCAAAGGCTAGAAAGGGGGGAACCGTTGATGGCTCAAGCAGAAGACACAATAAGACAAGTATGCATGCTGGAGAACATTGGGCAGAGAAAGAAGTGGGTCGGAGTACCAGAATCTTACCTGTGCCGGGTCATGATCACATTGGGCCGGGAGTGCAGAGAATGGCCAGCGGGTGTTACGGATGTGGAAGTCCAACAGCTGATTCACGACAATTCTCACCCAGATTATCTGATTATCTGTACAGATCATTCGGTGTTGAGAAAGAAGAGAAATGCCTGGGGGTTCTTAGCGAAAACAAGTAGATAATTTTAGTGCTGGACAGCCTGACCTATGATACCACAGCATTTAGAATGAAAATGGAGGTGTGGCAGGAACTGCAGCTCTCCGGTGGCTAGAGAAAAAAAATGCATACAAATGTCGTAATTATAACAGACTCTGAAAGCATGCTGAGAAAGATGAAGACAGGGATGTTTAGAGCAGAGTGGCTAGCTTCAGTGGAAAGGTCACAAGTAGTAGTAAGAATACTTTGGATTTTTTGTCCATGCTATGCTGAAGTGGTGGGGAATGAACAAGCAGACAGATTAGCTGGATCTGCACCATTGGGTGGTGAACTGATGAAGAGTAGCTGGATACAAAGAGCACCGCCGCATAAAGCTTTGGATTACCATTACGACCGGTACCATTAGTTGTATTCAAGGCTCTTTGTGAACAAGCAACGAATCCAGAAGAGAAAAACGATTATTATGGTCTCGAGAGAATAATGCACATGGGTGTAACCAGGAGGTCTTGCCGGCTCACTACACTCAGAGAAAAGGCAAGACGGATATATAACCAGGTTACGACAAGTAAGATTATTTGAACTCTGCGCTGGCTGCTGAAGATGACGACGAAGCATGCATGGGAATGCCCCGAGTACTGCGATATCAATTCTTGACTTATCTCAACGCAACTGTTTTTTTTTTCTGTTGTCTTTAATTAAAGGCATTTATAGAGGAGAACAATTAAAGACCCGTTTGCACGCCTTGGGGAATATTAAGCAAATGGTGCTTGTGTCACATTCATAGACTAAAAGTAATTCTAAAGTTGGCTTGGTAAATATCACACTTCAGAGAACATTTCCCCTGACTCTAGGAAGCTTCCAACTCATCCCTACTGGGCAGGCCAGCAGGAATGCTAGGCACTGAGATACAATGCCCTTCTTGCTTTCCGAAACACCCTCTTGAACATTACTAGTGTTACATCTGCTATAGGTTGTTGATGCCAACAGGTGAGCTAGTTTGTTTTCTCACACTTATCATTATTTATAAAGTATATCTACTGAAGTCCTTCGCAAAGCTGATCTCAACAAAACGTCCGCTGGAGTTCTTCGCAGGGACTGAGCCATACATTACTGTATATGCACTGAAGTCCTTTAAAGAGCATGATACAGATTATTCAACTACTCAAGTCTTTTTGTACACTGAACTGTCAATGCTCGGTGTCACATTCGTCTCATCTCAACCCTACACCGCACTGATGAACTCTTTTAGTACCAGAATATTTCACATAATAAGACAACGTGAACAAAACAAAAAACAAACAATGATCGAAACCACAAATGCATTACTTTCAAAGTGGCAGATTACACATGGCTGGTACTTAATATGAAAGCCAGGTTTCTTTGGCAAGTTCTCACCAAATGTTATAACAAGGAAAACACAGTGTGCTATGGTCGGGAACCAATAGGTTAAGTCATTTAAACACCAGGCGCTGCTTGGAACCGAACGAGTTAAGTTAGAGATAATGAAAAAAAAAAGTTGCTTGACCATCATTTAGAACCTCAAAGACATGTGATCGCAACCATTACCGCCTTCGCATCGAAGGTTATCACACTTGGACTCAATGCTGCAAAGTGTGTATGACTAAAAAGTTTCAACGAGACTCGGAAAGCATACGGATGAATTGTATTTTAAAAACCTATTAAAACTATTTTTTTCAAACCAAGTGGACAGTATCAAGTTTACACACACCATATAGAAAACAGAGAAACTGCTAAATCTTGAGTTTACCTGGGACTTCTACTCCAAACACGTTGGTGTCCTGTACGAATGTGGCTGTGTTCATCAAATTAGAGAGCTCGGCAGTAGACACATTTTCTCCCAGCCACCTGGTCAATACAGCAGTCACATAAGTCACAAAAGTCACATCAGTCACATCAGACACATTAGTCACATTAGTCAAATAAGTCACAACAGTCACATCAGTTTCTTTGGTTTGCAGCTATAGCGATAGCTATGTTTTTCCACCTTTCGACGTAACTCATAGGCCAGCCTTTAGTTAGGCTCCTTTTACGATCTGTTGCTTAAGGATCTGATCTTTCCCTTTTAGTTGGGCCTCGGAACCCACCCGAAGAGATTTCTTCATGATCTGTTGAATACTAACGTTAAAGTTATCTATCTTCTTGATCATGTAGAAGGTAATTTGCAGAACATCGCTCTCATCACGGGCTGACTGAAAGAAACTCGGTCCTTCGCCAGCCCCCCCCCCCTTTCCTCTTGCACTTTTACATGAAAGTTACCTACAGACTGAGAATTCTATGTAACTAGTTTAACGCCAAACTTTCTTGATAAAGCTCTAAATATGTATGCGTATGTGTGTGTGTGTGTGGGGGGGGGGGAGTGGTATATATGGTTTTTGCTTGTGTGGGAGTGTGTGTGGGGTGTTGTGTGTGTGTGTGTGTGTCCGTAAGGGTGAACTGAGAGCAATACAAGTGTGAAGCACCACTAGGGCTACCTGAAAGAATCCCCAATCCTGTCCTTGAAGAACAGATTGTATTCTGCATCCATGGTGAAGACATCGTTGGTGTTGACGTAGAAGTCACCGACCTCCAGGACGTCTTTGATGATTCTGCTGCTGGTATCTGAGGCCGGACCCAGGTAACCATCGAACGTCACCTTCTCGGTCAGCTGGGCCAGGAGTAGGCCAAACTCTCCTGCACGCAAGTGAGTCTTTGTAAGTACAGTAACATAATCAGACATATTTACATGCCTTGATTTACACAGAGCATATATGAGGTGCCAGCCTACTCTGTTTATAACCAACCGGCACTCGACCTCTAATAGGGTTAATATCAAACTGGCCGCCTATACTATCTAAATCAATTACTAGTATCCAGTTATAGGTTGACCGATATGGGAGTTCCAGTCAATTTTACTAACAGCCTTCGTGGGGACTTGAACACATGAGTGCCGAGTTAGTTAAAAAGAGTGCTAACCGTTGACACACTTGAGCTACAATCCACTCATAGTTCAAGAAGGCAACGTAATTTATGCAATGGCAGTATTGGTACACAATTATAATCGTTACTGAACGTGAGGCCTTCAGTCTAGAATAGTGCATAGGAAGACCGTCTTAGCAACTGAGTTGTTTCCGGCTAGACGTTGTATCCCCCCCCCCCCACCCATCAGCCGACTGAATGTACGTAGTAAAGTTCGTTGCGTATCCTTTACAGGACGTTGCAAAACCAACCCCAGCATTTTTTGTCTGTTGTAGTTTTCCTAGGCAAATTTACGTCCAGTAGTTTGCCATTGATTTCTGTACGCAGCTCCTTAAAATATTTACTTAACTGAGTGCAGGGGAACACTTTGTTCTCAAATTTTATTTGGAAGATGGAAAATGACAAGTGATCTTTGAGATGGCTGTACCTTACGAGACATTGTCTGTGCCACTAAACATGTTTTTGTTGTTGCTGACTTCGTAGACAGCAGCAGATGATTTATTTGCAGTCTGCGTGGCGTTGACTTCGAAAATGCTAGGGATAGCTTACCGTACAGAAGACAATGACAAACTACTAAACGTAAACTTGCTGAGTAAATGTTCTGGAGTTAGTTATGCGGTATGTAGAGGTTTAAAGGTTACCCAACTGACTGCATTCTCTGCTTTTGGCTGTGTCAAGTCTGCAGCCCGTTTCAGTTGTGTTCACAAGGGACTACAATAGGCTTTTAGTATAGTTTTCACAGCACCATGAATAGAGCAACTATGGTGTGACACGTTTGCATGCAGTCGAAATTTGCTATTTGCTAATTAACTCAGTTGAAAACAGTAAAATTTGGTTTTAATAGGTCTACTAATGAATACATTTTTGATAGATATATAAACTGACCACACACACACACTCACACACACACACACACACACACACACACACACACACACACAGACACACACAGGCACACAACTACCATTAAGAAAAGCAGGAGTGTCTTGTTTTTGTTGTTATTGTTATAAAATATTGTTGATGAAGAAGAGCGACGTTTTTGGAGAAAAGTAAAAAGAACAGAACAATAAATTAGAGGAAATGTTTGTGTGTGTTTGAGAGACAGTTAGCCTAACATAAAACATGGTATAGGGGAGGGCAGAGATTGTGAGACTGGGGTGAAATAGAGTGACTCACAACAGACTGAGAAAAAAGTATAATAGGTTACGAGAGATTTAAAAAAAAAAAGAGTTAAGAGAAAGTGTGGGGAAGGGGTGGGAGGAGTGTAAGAAAGGCTAAGACTGAAAGAGAAATAGAAATGAAAAAAAAAAGAGTTAGAGAATTAATCGATTTTGACAGTGATAAATAGAATGAGAGAAAGGAAGGGAGGGGGGGGGGGGGCAACATAAAAATTATAATATGTGAGCAATATAGAGAAGTGCGAGATTCTGGAAAAGATAAAAAATGGGAGATATGTTGAAGACAGTGAGAGAAAGTGAGAGCTATGAAATTGAGAGAAAGTGCGGGGTAAAATATGGTGACGTAAGTAGGATTGGACTGCGAAAGAAGAAAGGTATATTTAGACAGGGATAAGTGAGAGGTGGACAGGAGTAATTACGCAAGGAGAGACAGAGAGAAATAGAGAAAAGGAGAGAGAGGGAGGCAATCTATTGCAAGACAGGTTGGCGGGCATCAGACCACAAGAAACACAGATCAGACAAGACACAAATCATCAAGTATGTGACAATACCAGGCTGGATGAGCTCACATCTCCCTGAGGCGTTTCGGAAAGGCTCGCCATTCTCTAAGTCCACTTTCACAAGAATCAATTTTGTCAGTTTGCTCTGAAAGAGGCGTTCGGTTTGGAAAAAGAAATACCTTGTCTTAGGGAATATTCTTTAACTGAAAGGCATGATCATCTAGAAGCACACATACACACAGACGCACGCACGCACACACACATATGTCTGTCTGTCTGTCTGTCTGTCTGTCTGTCTGTCTGTCTGTCTGTCTGTCTGTCTGTCTGTCTGTCTGTCTGTCTGTCTGTCTGTCTGTCTGTCTGTCTGTCTGTCTGTCTGTCTGTCTGTCTGTCTGTCTGTCTGTCTGTCTGTCTGTCTGTCTGTCTGTCTGTCTGTCTGTCTGTCTGTCTGTCTGTCTGTCTGTCTGTCTGTCTGTCTGTCTGTCTGTCTGTCTGTCTGTCTGTCTGTCTGTCTGTCTGTCTGTATTATTGTAAAATATTCAATATTTATTGCAAGCACAGCACTCAAACGCAAATACTGAACCAATCATAACGTACATCATTACTGTTCTGCATAAATGTTATGACGTTGTTTAGCTATGTAAGTTTACCTATGTGTTCGTTGATAAATGCCCATATTTTTCATTACTTTTGGATACCCTAATGATAATGCGACGAACTGCAATGCTCCCTATTAGGTGTCTTTTTACGTCAGAATGAGTTGTCATTCCGTGTATTCAACATTACTATTCAGTAATTTAAAAACCGGAATGGGAGGAAACTTCGATGGCATAAGAGCAAGAGGTATAGAACGATATAAGTGGGAGGAAAACTGTGTTGAAAATCTGTTGCAGCCAACCTTCACAGTGGTACACAGCACCTGACTGACTGACTGAATCTAGATGTTTCAAATTTAAACATTTACAAAAAGATATAGAGCATTATTTTCAGGAAGCTTATCGTGACTGTTTTATGCCGATAGTCAGAGTATCTGGGATTTGCTTCTATTTGATTGGAACCTGAATAGTGGCACAATGCGTGACTATTTGATCGATTTCTGATTGGAGTCCTGGAAGGGACAAACGAGAAAGGTGAAGGGCGAAGAGGGATGGGGGGGGGGGGAGGGAAGGGGCGTCAATCATAACTGACTTGTTCAAAACTTACTAGCAATGGAGACAACCGGCCTACTGATCCAGCGACATTGAACAGGTTGGCTACTGTGGCAGGCAGTTCTGTGGAGCCATAGAACTCGAAAATCTGGTCAATCTGGAACCGTGATTTCACCCTGACCCAAATGTCAGGCCGCAGTCCGTTTCCAATTGCTGCCCAGACTTTGTGTTGTTGTTCTTCTGGTTTCTGGGATACGCAGATACAGGTACATGTAAGTTAATTTTGCAAGGGTATGTTGTTTGTGTGACTGTATTTGTGGTGTGTGCTTGAGTGCGTGTACGCCTGTGTTGTATGTGTGTGTGTATTGAAAGTTGTTGCTGAAGCTGGTCTTATTTTTGTTCTTGTTCTTGTTGTTCTTCTTCTTCTTCGTTTTCCTCTTCGTCTTCTAATTCTTCTTCTTCTTCTTCTTTTTCTGCTTATTATTATTATTATTATTATTATTATTATTATTATTATTATTATTATTATTATTATTATTATTATCATTATTATTATTATTTTTCTTTTTTTTTTCGTCTTTTTTTTTCTTCTACATTCATTCTTCAAATGTTGATTGGCACCTTATGTTGTGATTTGCAGGTAGGCTACGATATATGTGCCTTTTTGCCCAACACATTCAATTTCAACAAACGCCTATTTAGCCGTCGCTTACAATACGCTTGTGAGGCAGACGAACTGTCTGTTTTATTTCCCAAAATGAGGCATCAAAACCGACACGGGAAAAACTAAATATTTTAAACCCGATATTTTGCTAGAATCAGCACCTCAGTCGTCATAACTTCAATTAAATCAGCAAGACGCTTTGACTGTTTGGAGGGAGAGGGTAATTTTGATTTCCGCTGATATAACGTCAGGTTTGAATTTTCTTTTAGACTTGTGTTCTTAAAAAGGCGATAAACACGACACTGAGAAAAGCTAATAATAGTGTAATTAGATTGTCCATGCACTGGAATCCACACAGTAAAGAAATAAAAGGAGACACAAAATAGATAGTGTAAATAAGACAGGATGACAATGGATGAAACGTGTGATGTAGCACAGTAGAAGGAGGCAAGGCTTGAAGTTGATGAGGTTTTATGTTTCATCGTAGGAAGATGGACTCAGGAGGAAGCTAATCTAAATCTCTGCTTTTTATTGCATGAGTGAAGACTGAGTTTAAATACCTTGGAACGACATTAACTGAAGATGGTAAATTAGACAATGAAATTGACATCCCATGCAGTAAAGAATGCCAATTATTAGGACAAACCAGCTGCCCTCTTACTACATAAGGTAATCCCAATCAACACCATACCAAAAGAGGAGAAGGACGTAGAGCAAGAGGTAGACGAAGATCAAAATGGGAAGATAAAATCAGAGAAACTCTACAGCATTATGATTTGTCTAAGGTCGAAGCAGTCAGAAGAGCACGAATTAGTACAATCTTTCTTCACTGACTGCCGAAGCGTTAAAAAGAGGACGTAAAGAAGAAGAAGATTGATCTCACTGAGTCTTATTCACAATAAATTTCACTTTTTTATAACGTTTTTGAAATTGTTTTAAGACTACGTGATAGAATAACTTCGACGCCATGTGTCTATACGCGTATCTGATCGGTCCAGATATTATCTTTGCATCAATGGCTGGTTTTCTCGAGTCACCATTTCCAGTTATCGTCATAACGATACAATACTCCTTGTGATGGTCGCAACACTTACTCATTCGACATCCTGCATTTAGCTTCCCTTCAGGTCTAGTTTCTTCTCTCAGAAGAAGAAGAAGAAGAAGAAGAAGAAGAAGAAGAAGAAGAAGAAGAAGAAGAAGAAGAAGAAGAAGAAGAAGAAGAAGAAGAAGAAGAAGAAGAGGAAGAAGAAGAAGAAGAAGAAGAAGAAGAAGAAGAAGAAAATGATGATGAAGAAGAAGAAGAAGAAGAAGAAGAAGAGAAGAAGAAGAGAAGAAGAAGAAGAAGAAGAAGAAGAAGAAGAAGAAGAAGAAGAAGAAGAAGAAGAAGAAGAAGAAGAAGAAGAGAAGAAGAAGAAGAAGAAGAAGAAGAAGAAGAAGAAGAGAGGAGAAGAAGAAGAAGAAGAAGAAAAAGAAGAAGAAAAAAATGATGAGATGAAGAAGAAGAAGAAGAAGAAGAAGAAGAAGAAGAAGAAGAAGAAGAAGAAGAAGAAGAAGAAGAAGAAGAAGAAGAAGAAGAAGAAGAAGAAGAAGAAGAAGAAGAAGAAGAAAGACGAAGAAGAAGAAGAAGAAAGAAGAAGAGGAAGAAGAAGAAGATGAAGAAGAAGAAGAAGAAGAAGAAGGAAGAAGAAGAGAAGAAGAAGAAGAAGAAGAAGAAGAAGAAGAAGAAGAAGAAGAAGAAGAAGAAGAAGAAGAAGAAGAAGAAGAAGAAAAAAAAAGAAGAAGAGGAGAAGAAGAAGAAGAAGAAGAAGAACAAAAAACAGAGAAGAAGAAGAAGAAGAAGAAGAAAAGAAGAAGAAGAAGAAGAAGAAGAAGAAGAAGAAGAAGAAGAAGAAGAAGAAGAAGAAGAAGAAGAAGAGAAGAAGAAGAAGAAGAAGAAGAAGAAGAAGAAGAAGAAGAAGAAGAAGAAGAAGAAGATGAAGAAGAAGAAGAAGAAGAAGAAGAAAAGGCTGAAGATGAAGAAGAAGAAGAAGAAGAAGAAGAAGAAGAAGAAGAAGAAGAAGAAGAAGAAGAAGAAGAAGAAGAAGAAGAAGAAGAAGAAGAAGAAGAAGAAGAAGAAGAAGAAGAAGAAAAGAAGAAGAAGAAAAAGATGAAGATGATGAAGAAGAAGAAGAAGAAGAAGAAGAAGAAGAAGAAGAAGAAGAAGAAGAAGAAGAAGAAGAAGAAGAAGAAGAAGAAGAAGAAGAAGAAGAAGAAGAAGAAGAAGAAGAAGAAGAAGAAGAAGAAGAAGAAGAAGAAGAAGCAGAAGAAGACGAAGAAGACGAAGAAGAAAAAGAAGAAGAAGAAAGAAAAGAAAGGAGTATCGGAGGAGAAAGAGGAAGAAGAGGGCATGAAAAGAAGAAAAAAAAGTTTCTGTGCAACCCTACTTACCTCTGGTGAATTGACCAAGTAACGTAACATCTCACCGATGTACTGGAAGCAGGTCACATTATGTTGAACACAGTCCGCCCAAAACTGGGAGGAGGAGAACTTATCCCTCAACACAAGTGTGGCTCCTGCACAAACAAGAAATTCATTCCAGATACATTTTAATAATGGAAATATGACAAGTTGCATTCATGTTGGTGAACGTTGCTTAGTTTAATTAATTCTTTTTCTTCTGCTTTTGTTTGCTTGAAATATATTATCAGTACATGCAATGTTGTCTCTATCTAGTATGAACATTGCGTTTGTGCTTGGTATCCTGATTGCTGTGTTGCGCTTCCTGTCTGGTTGCCTCCGATTGCAGGATTTTATTTTGCTTGTTGTGGTGACCTAGATCGACGTGCAAGCATACAGGATCGAACCATCCACGCTGACATGTGTGTACGCCGGTACACTTGACTTCGGTATCATACGCGTCATTGGAACACCGCAATTTTAGTTTACGCTAATAGATTAATTAATTAATTTTTATTTTTATTTTTGTCGTACTCAACTGAAAATTAATGGAAGGAAATATCAGCAGGACATATCCAAAGGTAAAGGCTGTCGATGTTTCTTTGAGGATTATTTCTGTTTTTCTTTGTATTCTTTTTTCTAGCCTCTGTTCTGCCTTTCTGCATAAACTTTTGAAGATAGTGTGGATAGCTGATTCTCGAAGACAGTGTGGATAGTTGATTCTCAGACAGGATTGTCGCTAAATTCCCTTTCGATATCAATGTAAAGCGAAGTATATGTTCTTCGATCTATATTTTTGTAGATAAATCCAAATCGATGAGTGATGTGGGCAACATTTGGCTGATTGTCTTCATTACTTAGAAACTTTTATAAGGGTACAAAATTGTATGTCAGGGTAAAAGCCTGCAAAAGGGGAAGCAATCCACGAATGCCATTCTGAAATAAACTATCGTTTCGGTTAAGGAAACTGTTCTATGGATTGAGGCCCAACAGTGCAGGTTACGTACCTACGTTGATGACGTTGAGGAAAGCCAAATTTAGAGCTGATGCATGATACAGGGGCAGCGTCAAGTACATGATCTCTTTGGACGAGAATCCCACCGGACTGTACGAATGGCTACAGAGTATGGTTTTCTTGTGACTGATAATGGCTGGCTTGGGGAGGCCTGAAAACAGAAAGTTTGTAGTTTGAAATAATACGTTTAACTTACACATAAGCTTATATTTACATTGTAGCAAAAAACTGCAATTGAACTAAATGTTTTTGATAGGTGAGAGAATTAAATACATCAGGGAATTCGAAATTTTTTGTCAGATAGCTTCAAAACAAAAGTATGTATTTAAATGAGCATGTTAAATTAAAAATACCGGTCTGATCCGTGATAATTACATTGTTACAGGTCATCCCCGTGTGGGATGCAATTTGTGGTTATTTGAAGCCCCACACTGGCTTCTATCGTGGGCCCTGAATATAGCCGGGGCATAAATATGGTCTAGCCATAGATAGGGCCCAACGGCAAAAAGGGGTTTGTGGGACCTCGCGACGGGTGATCCTCATTCGCATGGTGGCATTTTGTGTCACCGGGTGTTTATCGCTTGTGTGATGTCCGGTTGGGGTATATTAACCTACCTATCTAAAAAAAATACTGACGGACAGAGCTGGTTAACGTTTATCCTGTTTTCAACAAAAGTTTAAGTAAAATGTATGTATGTGATTCAATTCTACCAGAACCTTACAACGAGCCACCGACACCCGGTGACACAAAGTGCCACCATTCGGATGAGGATCACCCAGGCACAAGTCTCAGAAACCTCGTTCAGCAGTTAGGTTATATTAGGGATCCAACTACAGCCGGGGTGGGTCCTAAACGATAAATTGCGCCTCACATTTGGATGGCATATAGGGTAGACCAAATTTTATAGACCAATCGGCATTTGGTGGGTGACGTGGTCAACCTACTACCGGCCGACTTTACTTTTCAGTGACTTTAGCTTGTAGCAGCTTAAGGCTAGGTCAACCTGTGAGCCATGTCATTTTTCAGAACAAATATCTGGACCTGAACCCATAACCTTCAGATCCGCAGGCAAGCCGCTACACTACAGTCTGCTTAAATAAGGGTTTATTTGTACATCCCTTACACAGGTACACAATTTAAAAAGAAAAGTATGCAAACTCTCTTGAAAAAGAAACTCTTAAAAGAATGACATTTTTTTTTATTGTCCTGGTCGTGGTAGGGGTGGAGGCAGGGTGAAAGTGGGACTGCTAGCAAAGCATTAAGCATGTGATTGTCATGGTGTGCACGCGGGTCACACAGGCCAAGCGAACTATTTGGAGTAGCGGAAGTGATTTCTTTTTGTGAACCGGCTGATGACAGTGGTGAACCGGACATCCTAGCCGACGGTCTGGGCAACTGCTGTGTGGCAATGCAACATAAATAGTTGTTTTAGTTACTGTGTTAGACTGAGTTAGCTAATATGTAAATTTACTTAGAATGATGTCGAAAGGATAGGATAATAAGGCTAATAGACTTCATCGTGTGAACTGTGATCACATTCTGATACAGTCTGTTCTTGTTGTCGTCTGACCATCACTGCAGGGTCCATGTGCTTTGGCAATAATGAACTTTATCCCAACACTCATAACTCTTGGTGCCCAGTTTACGTTTTGCAGCCCTTCTACACACTGGCTGACCTTTTATTCATATTTTCTTAGACTACTCTAGGTCTGAAGGGTGTCAGTGTGTCTTGCCTCCAGTTACATCAGCCCCGATGTCACGGGTTCTATACTACACAACGACACAGCTTTCAACGACCCTAGAACAAATAGAACTGGTCCTAACCCAAACCATCCGACCCGCAGCCTGAGCCTAGGTCACACGAGAGACTCTTTTCGAAGAAAGCAGTACAACGTGAGACCCCTCTGACCTACAACAGACTGAGAATGCGTGGTGATGAGCCGGGAAACATGAACAGGTCCCTTGGTACTTACCAAGCTCAGGAGGCGAAAATGAGAAGTACAGTTTAGCCCTTCTGTTGGCACAAGTTGAATGACCTTTACAAACTCGTGCTATGACCTTGCCAACCGTCTCTCGTCTCTCTTGTGAAGTGGTCAAGCTGTTTATGTTGACCTGTAAAGTCATTCCCTAATTTCCAAACCGTGTCATTCGGATCACGACTACAATATTTTTGAAGACCCTTGAGGTTGTCGCAGGAGCTATGGTGTTACTTTGTACGATTTTTGAAGCAAGCTGAGAGCTTTTCTGCAGACAGAAACCTACCAGATGGGTACAATCTAGATCAATTAAACATACCCCCTTAGCGTTAACAACATTTTATGTACAGGTTTGAGACTGATATGAAGCTGTTGTTTACACAGTTGAAAAGTTTAAATGGTCGGGCAAAAGCAATTAATGTTATCTATTATAAACGAGATAAGGCCTAGTACAATGCATGTATAATCTAGTAAAATAAATGATTCCCTTAAATGTTATGGACCATGTAGTTTGGAGGGGGTGAACAAGATGGGAATGGGGATAAAGGGACAGAATTACTGCAGATCCAAATTAACAGCTGAGAGTCTCTAAAGGAAGTACACTAAATATATGCGATGATAGTAAAAGTCATAAAAGCCCTTGCTCTAATTGTGGAGGAAATTTATTATACGACAGGTTCTTGCTAGTCACAGTCACCTTCGCCATTGGACGTGATTCTCATGCCTCTAAATGTGGCGGAAGGAAAGTGGCCAGCAACCTGTCTTACCTGTAGTTCCGGAAGTGAATATGAAAGTGCATGGGTCTGAAAGCTTGAGTTCAGATCTGAATGTGGAAGGGAACTGGCCATCGGAGACTTGTGACATCAGGTCGCTGAAACTGGGGAAGTTAGATTGGTTTTTTGGCTCTGGCCTGTAGGCATAGACTGGTACCTCTAGCTGGGGCTTCAGGTTGTAGACCCGGTCAGGGAGTTTGTCGTCAAAACCTGGTCAACAGAATGCACTCAGGTGTTGATTTGTTTTGTTTCGTATTATCTACGCTCGTATATCATTTACTCATCCATTCATACACTTTATATCAACGTAATATATACATACATTCTGCGAGTTTCTGACTGAAGTGTCTGCTTACGTGTGTTTCGCCATACGCATTTCTCTATCTGTCTATCAATACAATCAGATAATCAACGGTGAAATTACCTATATATTTTTTTCTAATGTTTCAGTCAGTCTGCTTACTTTCTGTCCTTTTGTCTGTTTGTCAGTCAGTACGTTCATTCATCCATTCGTCCGCCTGCCCGTATATGTGCATTTCTGTTTATCTTTATACCGAAAGGCTGGTCTACATTCTTGCCTGATTTGTTTCCCCTACCTCATTGTCTGTATGTATATGATCATTCCGACATCTTTCTCAATTGCAGGAAGGCACACCAGACAAAATCAGGAGCCGTCGCATCGGACCAGTTCACATCCGCTTGCCGACCGAAGGCCTTGTGTTTAAATCCTCAGTAGCGATGATTTTTTTCTTCTTCTGGAAACTTCTTCTTCTTTCGTTCGCTTGAAATAAGTTATCTCTATCTGCAATGTTGGCTCTAGTATAAACTTCACTGTCTTTTGTATTTCATTTAGCGGCCGGTAAAGTGCAGCTCCACCAGTGTCTCTATTGACCACAGTTTTGCCTGAAAATGTCGTGTCTGGGACAATCTTTGGAGATGTGATTTGTTGTCTTACGTGCTATTCCACATGTGCACATGGCTGATTCGCCAATGTTAAATTGTGAATTCATATGTCTGCGAAACAAAAGCTATCAAATACAGAGGTACTTAGGAAATTGGGAATAAAAAGAGAGTTGCGAGGTGAAATAAAAAAGAGACATTTTGGCCACATTAAAAGACATCAGTATTGTAAAGATCGTCCTAAAAGGAAAGGTTCAAGGTAGGCGAGCGAGAGGCAGACAGCGTTACAAGTGGGAGGATAACATCAAGAGATGGACGAACAGCAGTATGAGTGAGTGTACATCAAGGGCAAGAGACAGGGCTTGTTGGAGATCCATTTCAGCCAACCTTCATTGTGGAAACGGCACCTGATTGATTGATTGATGTCTGCGAAGTCGATTGTGCCCTGTTCTAAGGCATTGAATAATGACTTGCTCTGGTCTGTCTGTAATATGGTTATCGTCGTTTAAAACTAAGGTTGGCTTCCAAATCGATGCTACTGTGAAATGGGTAGGCTGGGGGAAAACAGAGGCAGTCGTAATATGCCCCACTTCAGTGATCACATGCTGACTGGTCTATACACATTTTGTTTCGCACTATATGGGCCTACGCCAGCCTGCGGATCAGAAGGTCGTGGGTTCGCGTTCTGAGGGAGCAGGACTTTTTACAGACAATGACTCGATGGTCGACCCAGCCTTGAGTGGGTACCAGGTGCAGTCCTCGGAAGTAAAGGCGGCCGGTGTGATACTGACCTCATCACCCACGAATTGCCGATTTGACTATACAAATATAGGTTTAGCCCTATATTTTTAAAACGCCTAAAGGCGTGGAAAAGAGACCTTTACTTTACTTAAATATATGTTCGTAAAAATTATCTATTACTTACTTTACAATCACAAAAGCAAAGTCACATGTATGTTAAAATACATACCCTGTCCAACTATCACCAGCTTTGGGGAGCAGCTTGTAATGCTATGTCGGAGAGCGTCACAGACTAGGTAGTGATTAACCAGGGCTATGCGAGCACCCAGCTTCTGAACACCTGAAGTCAGTATAGTTTCCCCATATATTGTCAACAAAAGTGAATAGGCATTTTGTCAACTGTGGCAAGATGTGAAATGACATGTCTATTCTTCTTCTTCGTCTTCTTCGGCTTCTTCTGCTTCTTCTGCTGCTTCTTCTTCTTCTTCTTCTTCTTCTTCTTCTTCTTCTTCTTCTTCTTCTTCTTCTTCTTCTTCTTCTTCTTCTTCTTCTTCTTCTTCTTCTTCTTCTTCTTCTTCTTCTTCTTCTTCTTCTTCTTCTTCTTCTTTTTCTTCACTTTCCAATTTATTTCGACTTTTGGCCGCCACATCCAATTTTTACAGTTACTAGCTTGCCTTTCCAGCTGTGTTATTTCGATGATGTTCCCCTTGTGAGTTCAGAAACCTCAATAGTAAGAGTGGAAGGGAAATTGATCCACTACTCCCGCCCCCTTACCCACCTTTTTTCCAACCAAAGCGTGTCGTACAGGGTAAAACATCAGGGGTGTTTGCATCAAAGTCGAAGTCCATATGTCTAAATACTGAAAACTGAGTACGCTAAATACTGGTTCTTTTCTTGTCATGCACCAAATCTCGGAGACTCTGAGATCTCTTGGGGAGATAAAGGGAACTTCCAAGGGGGCAAGGGGGTCTTCAGGCCTGAGGAGTTACGGCCGCATGGCTAGTGCTGTCGCCACCACTGTACTGGTGAAGGTTTTATTTTGCCCCTGACAGAAAAATAAAATATACCTAACCTTACATAGGATTCTAACCCGCGTCTCTCGATCCAGAGCCCAGTGCTCTAACCGTTCGGCCAGCCGCTCTGAGCAGAAAGAAAAACTTAACTGAAACCAACAAAGAAAAGAGAAGGACAGAAAAATAGTGTAGTGAAACATACACTTTATTTTGCAAAGAAAATATATTTTGAATTCTAAATTTTTCTTTGAGATAAAACCTGTGACTCCTCCCGATAGAAAGATGAGAATCACTGGCATAAGAAAAGGTAAGGCAGATAAATAAATGTGCGCGTCTGTATGCGTATGCATAAGTTAAGTGAAACGTTGTGCTGGAATAAATTTATGAGCGGAAAAATAGCCTGGAAAACAAAAAAGAAAATTGCTTAGGGAAACAGTTATTCGACTGGAAAGCACGTTTTTTTTTTCTCTTTAGCACACTGTGCTGGCGAATTAGGTGTGTACATTAACGAACAAAAGAACGAACAAACTTTATTTCCAAAGGGTCACAAATTAGTCCGCCCTTCCAAACAATCATCTCTTACGCGCCAATAGTATTTCATATAGTAAGCAGTTTATGTTGGTATATTAAAATGTTCATAGTAAGAAATTTTAATAAAAAATACAAACGCATGGATGACAATTTCATAACTAAAAAAAAAAAAACAACAACAACAACATGCAACATACACAAGACAGGAAAAACAAGAGAGACAGTAGAATAGACTCACATACACACGACACATACATACACACAAACACATTTACTGACATACACGTGGGTGAACACACTGGAAGCTAAAGTAGCATCTCGCAGAATGAAAAAGAGTCTGTATAATATATCTTTGTCACCTCATGCAAGCAAACCTTCTTGAATAGATAAATAAAGTAACTATCTAAGGCTGCGATAGCTATTCACTTTGGCTGAACGCATCTGATCTAATAAACTTCGACATGCCTGGTGGTTGGGTCCGGGAAAAAGGAAGAGGGTGGGGAGTTGGGGTGGTCTGCTTTGAGGCTCCAGAAAACACACGGGGGTATACGACCAAAGTAATTCATAACAAGTTCTAAACCAAAAAAAAAAAAAAAATAGTAGTAGTAGTAATGATAATAGTAGTAGCAGTAGTAGCAGCAGCAGCAGTAGTCGTAGTAGTAGTAGTCGTAGTAGTAGTAGTAGTAGTAGTAGTAGTAGTAGTAGTAGTAGTAGTAGTAGTAGTAGTAGTAGTAGTAGTAGTAGTAGTAGTAGTAGTAGTAGTAGAAGTAGTAGTTGTAGTGATGATGCTGGTAGTTATTCTGGTGGTAGTAACAGCAGTAGTAGTGTTGAAGATTGTTCTGTTAGTAGTAGTGGTAGTTCTAGTAGATGTAGTAGTTGTAATGGTGATGGTAGTAATAGTGGTTGTGGTGGTAGTAGTAGTCACCGTCTAAGCGGTGATGCCTGTGGCAGTGGTACTCGTAGTTGTAAAGGTGTGGGTTATGATGCTGTTTGTGGTGGCATCCATCGACGTTGTTTAAACAGTAAACTAGTAGTAGTAATCATTTTTGTAATAGAATCACTACTAGTAGTAGTAGTAGTAGTAGTAGTAGTAGTAGTAGTAGTAGTAGTAGTAGTAGTAGTAGTAGTAGTAGTAGTTGTTGTTGTTGTAACAACATCAGCAGGTGTACATCAGTTCCACTCGATAAACTCCTAGATGCTTTAGATAAAAAGAGTTGGCTGATATTCTGAAGATGGACAAATGATCTATTTACCAGTCAGATCGACAGCATACATTTACACAATTAACAGTGCACAGCTTACCCAAATATATCCACAGGAATGCGGGCTCGTTTGACATAACCAGCGCTATCGTGTCGCCTGGACCAATGCCAAGCTTTTGAAGTGAGAACGCTACGCGGTTTGCCTGCTGGTTCACGGCGCTGTAGGTAAAGATTTCATCTTTGAAAATGATAAACGGATGCTGAGGTTTGATTAAAACCTGGCGCTCAAATTGGTCAATGATAAACTCTTTGGAGGCGAACGCCTTCTTAACTGCTCGCAGCAAACTGATGTTGACGAAAATGGTATAGACATCGCGCCAAAGTGGCGGGTAGTAGATCCTGAGAAGAGTAGCGATGACTAGAATTGTCGTTATAAAAAAGCTCAGTAATCCCAGAAGCATGACGGTGCCAGTCAAGTAGAAGATGCTGCAAAAGAATCAATCATACATTGTTGAGCAAGCATGCAAATACAAGAACGCCACAGCTGAAGTGTGCACAGTCTACCGGTCTTCAGAAGGTGTCCTCAATTTCAACAGATGCTTCAGCCTGTTTACCTCCCTAGATTATCTCGGGGGGTTCTAGTTCACTACGCGGCTCCTCTTTGGTGCATGTCAAAAATGGGGTAGCCATCTTTAGCCTGTCATAATGACGTTATTGCATTGGTCAGTACCATTATGTAAATAGCTTCACACTCTTGCCATTCTTAACAACAATACTGCCTGATAGCATGCAGAGACGTTGAAAGTGGGGGGGGGGGGCGTGATTTAGGGGGGGGGGGGCACGGCAGTATGGTGTCATCGCTGAGGTGGAGGATGGGGAGGGGTTGACAAGATGGCTCCAAAAGTGTTTTCAACACTAACAATTGTGTGTGGATATGTGTATGTGTGTATGTGTGTGTGTTTAAAGGGAAGCAAAAGATTTTCCGCACCGGGTACCACCTGACCTCGCAGTGCCACTGGCTATAAGACAATTGACATGGCTATTATATTTTCGATAAAAACTGTTACAGTTCTTTTTCGAAGTCCCCTCCCCCCTCTCATTTTCGTATTTGGAGTAAGTTCATGATGGACGTTCATCGTAAGTGGGTATCCCATAATTTCTCTCGGCGAATCTAAAACTAGTCCCTCCTGACTAATTACTTTTCAAGGGGCGGTGTGTCTATTTATGATTTTCTTTTCAAAATGAGGTCCCTGGGCCCACACAAGTACCATCTAACATTACCCCAAGATATTCACGCCTACGTCTACTGTGTCTCTGACATCCTGTACCGTCACGATCGTATTAAGGTCAATCACTTATGTGTATTTGCATACAATCTGACGCCGAGTTAAATGAATGGCTTTTCTTGACTTAGGCACTCGCTGACACACTTTACAACCACAAGTACTTATTCCAATGGCCGTTGTGCACTTGCTGACATTGTCTGAACTGTGCTAGCAGTTGAAAAAAAAAAAAAAAAAGAATAGTTGCCTTTCCTTTACAGGACGTTGCAGAATCAACCTCAGAATTTGTTGGATGTTGTATTTTGTTGTAGGTAAATGTTGCTTTCAGAAGTTTGTCATTGGCCATGAACGGTCAGCTCTCGGTACCGCTGTTGAAACCAAAGCATATGGTGGTTCGTTTTCCTGCCAAACCGCCTATAACTGGGAGCAAACAAGGCACCCCGATATTACGAAGCGGGTTCGCAACGCCTAGGCTACTGATGCCTAGCAGTACTTCTTTGAACATCGTTGTGTAGAAGAAGTCAGAAAAAACGAAAATCATGCTAAACAAACCACACATACATTATGTTTCCTGGCAGTAGACGTCAGACAATACAGTAATGACATACAGTCGTCGCTTTCAACATCAGAAATAGAATTAAACAAAAGTTACAGATATTCTTACAATTTTAACAGTGGATGTTTAATTTAACAATATAGTCAGAAATTTCTTCACTTTTAATAGTTGTGATGAGTATTTAGTAATGATCCTCAAGTGCTAATCCATCAAGTGAGGATCCATCAAAGGCCGATCCATCAAATGCCGATCCATCTCGTGCCGATCCATCACGAGCTGAGGTATCTAAACTACTGAACTAGTTCTAAATCCCTAACAGGCATCAGTGAATTGAAACAGGTCATTTACTATTTGATGGCTATCATAACCAATCACGACAGAACCAGGTAAATGAAGAACGTTCAAGAACATTCAGAAATGCGGCTTCCTAACATTACACGGAGCATTTATTTGAAACCCGTACAATATTTAGTTTGAGAATGGAGGTTGAGATAGACACAGCAGCTTGTGTAAGATGCGACATTGCAACAATGTCTAAAGTATGCTAAGACAGGTGGAAAAACGCAGGTTACCTTCAGAGTAACAAACATCAGAGGTGCTTCGTGCTTCAGAGGTCTCCGGCAGTTAGCGTTGTTTGGATCTTTCCTCAATGGTTGGCATGTGTTGTGAAAAACGATCAGGCTGACAGACTGACTGGTGCTTCACCCTGGGGACGGGATTGGGTGAGAAAAGGGGGTGGGGGTGTTTAGGCGCATGAAAAGCTAAACGTGGTCAGGGCTTGAGGGGAGCAAGAAAACAATCCAGAAGCCCAAATAGATCATTACTGTGTCGTGAGAACAGTGCAGTGGGGATTAACTCTGGTATTGACTGACACTCTACACTCAGTGGAAAGACCAGACGGACGCATTATCAAACTGATAACCTTGGAGCTGTATACCTTTGATTCCTGCTGAGGTTGAGGACATAGCGCGTATAGGAATAGGCTGAGTGCTGTGACGTCGATTCTTGAGTCAGGTCAACTCAACACATGATATAGCACAGACATAAATCATTCTTAAGAATAATTATATGTATGCGGTTGTAGGAAAAAAAAAGAGACTGCGAAACATAATACATTGATAAATGTATTAAATTAATATACTAAAATCTTGTTAACACAAGCTCACTTAAGAAAGACACTTTTTTACAATGAACAAAGTGTTGGTCCCTGCCGGGAAGTATTATTCGCAATCCCTAGTTATCATGTATTTGTTTAACACAAACTCTTGAGTTTTGTTTTTGGTCCCTTTTGATTATTGTGAAAAATGGTTCTGCGTTAAATCTATAGCTAATGCAAAGCGAAAAATTAAAGTAGATAGATACTCTCATATGTTTACAGTTTACTTACGCTTTAAAACATAAACACCAAAATGCACTTGAAACAATTAGTCTCAACAGACGAAAGTGGATATTTGCTTACAGTTTTCCACTTTGTTCCAATTGATAGTAATTCTGCACTGAGCACTTTACGGCGGGAATTCACCTACAACACGCCAACAGCAAACATATACACTTTGCGGAAGATTTCACCCAGTGAAGGGCTCTTCACACACGCACTCGCTACCTTTATACACCTTGTCTATTTCACTGTTTTCAGTGAGTAATCGAGAGGACGTTCTTCTTCAGTTAGTTGAGTGTATTTACTTTTAGAGAAACGGGCGAAACATCGGTAAGATTACTGGGTTTTTTTAATGGTTTTTGTTCTGTTTTCGCAAAAAATAAAATCTTAACTTTTACTATCGGTAGCCTTTTTAATAGCCACATATCACAACGTCTAGTTTGAGAATGGAGGTGGAGGCAGTCACTGCTGTCTTCCGCTGGCTTGAGAATCAGCTGTACACTCATGCCGTCATTGTAACTTACTCACAGAGCATGTTGAGTAAGGTGTAGACATGCATGTTTCATGCAGAATGGCAAGCGTCACTTCAAAAGTCCCGGGTAGTTAGCATCCTTTGGATATTTTCTTAAGGGAATGCCGGTGTATTGTGAAAGGAGCAGATGGATAGGCTGGCCGGTTCTGCACCACTTGGTGGGGAACTGATGTATGACAAGCTGGATGTTGTGAGGGCCCTTTGGGAGCGAATGAACAGTGCCGAGGCTAAGATGGATTAGTGTGGTCTAAGGTGAATGGCACTGCTAGGGGTTAAAAGGGGATCTGGCCGACGCTAGACACTCAGGGAAAAGACGAGATGGATATACAGGCAGTTACTGATATGAAATTTAGCCATTCGCTTGCTGCTGAAGATGGGGACGGAGCGCTTGTGGGGGTGTCCTGGGTGCTGTGATGTAGATTTTTAATTCGGTCTTTTCTAATATCCTACCCCAAATGGGAAATCCACAGGTCATGGGAAAGCCTAAAATTCTAGGGGGTGGTAGATCGGCTGTGTGCAGTCGTGGGACCTAGGTTGCACTCTCTCGTGGAACGTAGGTGGGTTGGGGTTAGGGCTAGTTCTAGATGTTTTGGGGTCGTTAAAGGCATTATAAAGCCGGGAAACCCAGCCTTACCACCCTCTAAAATGCTGGACTGTCCTGTGACGTCATCTGGTGGTAGGATATTACGAAAGAACCGTTAATTTAACATTCAACATTCAGCAGCCCCGCTTGCCAGGTTCAAAGAGAATAATTATTAACACACTGACATTTAAAGATTAGTTCTGTAGAGAAGAATAATTGACAGGAGATTGACTAACTGTATAGCTATCTCTGTAGGGGGTCTGCGTGGTCTCGAAGCATGGTGTCCTCCTCGAGTGCAAGAGGTTCCGGGTTCAATTCCATGTAAGGGCTGGGATTTTTTTTTTCACGTGGACTTAGACTTCTAGTAATTCCCCCTGGTTTATCGGTAGTGAGATCGACGCTCGTGTTCATTGTTGCGCACCTAAAAAATCCCTTGGCAGTTGGGAATTGAAAAGGGTGGCGCTGCCCGGGAAAATTTGGAGTTAAAAATCTACTGAAAGTATTTTAGATACAGAACCTGTGCACTGTGCTGAGCTTCTTCGGGCTCAGACTTGAATTAGTAGAAGAACAGAGCACTTATGGGTTACTACCCGTGTGCCATGATATCGATCCGTTGTTCAAAACCTTCAAAAACCTATCTCGGTAATAATGGTTGGTGCGTGCACTGAGCCTTGTGGTTCAGGCAGCGCTTAGCAAGTACGCTTGTTCAACGTGAACTGTGTCTGGTGGTTATTAAAATTATTGGGTCGACATTTATTGCACATGATTTTGCAAAGCTGTGTATCATTATCTCCCTTATAACATTTTGAATTTTTCCATTGTATTTACGAGCTTTAATTAACTCTATTCATATTCTTCTGCTTGATCAAGCAAAGAATGTTTCTTAAACGTTTCAAGCATCTTTGTAGGTAGATTCTACTAGAATCATTACAGCCATAGACGCCGATATTACTTACAAAGACAACTTTGGGCGGGTGTTTAAGTGTCGCGTGCGGATATGCACTAAAAAACACCAGTACTGACAGAGCAAATAGGACGACATTAACATTACGTAGTGTTGCTAGGGAATTACCTTCGGCGAATAAAAACAGTCTTAGTCACCCCTTTGAGGGATGCAATTTTTCGTTAT